GTTGAGCCATACACACTAATAGGGGGAGACTAACAGATGTAATGACTCAAATGGGCTTAACAGATATGTATAGAACATTCCACCAAACACAAAAAGTATATACTTACATCACAGCACCCCAAAGAACCTTCTCTAAAATAACCACATAATCCAAAACAAAGCAAACCTAAAGAGATACAAAAAATTGGAATAATCCCTGTATCTTAGTGGATCACCATGGTTTAAGGATAGAATTCAACAACCACGTTAATTGCAAAAAGTCCTCAAACTCATGGAAACTAAGCAACTTAGAACTGAATCTCCACTGAGTGCAGAAAGAAATAAAGAATAAAATTAAAGGCTTCCTAAATTCCAAGGAAAACAAATGTACAACCTACCAAAACTTAAGGGACACAATGAAAGCACTCATAAAAGATAGAATTTCATAGCAATAAATGTCTACATAAAGAAGACCATGAAATCTCATTTTGGAAAGTTATAATGAGTAGAAATAAACCTACCAAGGAGGAGTAGATGTCTGGAAATAATCAAAGGGAGGGATGAAATCAATAAAAAAGAAAACAATACAAAGAATCAATTAAACACAGAGTTGGTTCTTCGAGAAAACAAAGAGAGACAAACTAACCAAAAGACAGAGAGAGAATACCCAAATTACCAAAATGAAAATGGGGACATAACAATAGGCACTGAAGTAATCCAGAGAAATATCAGGTCATATTTCAAAACCTACACTCCAAAAAGTTGGAAATTTTAAAGGAAATGGACAATTTTCTGGATAACTACCACACACCAAGAGACTCTAAGAGAGATATGCATAGTACCCCAGAGATGGGGAATGGGACAGAATCTCCTGAGAGGAGGGGAGAGAAAGCTGGGGGAAAGTGAGGGGAGAAGAGAAAGGGAAAGGAGGACATGGAGGAGCAGGAAGGTTGAGTCTGGGCAAGAAAACAGAAGAGTAGAATGAGAGATACTACAATAGATGGAGTCATTATAGGTTTTAGGAGAGATCTGCCACTAATGAGATTTCCAGAGATCTATAAGGATTACATCAACTGGTAATCCATGCAAAAGTGTAGAGGCTTCCTTAAATGCCCTTCCCCTATAATGACATTGACAACTGCCTTGTATGCCATCCTAGAGCCTTCATAATATGACTGATGGAAGTAGAGGCAGACATCCACAAATAAACACTGTACTGAAATCCTGAAAACCAGTTGCAGAGAGGGAAGAGTGATGAGCACAGGGGTCAAGACTGGGATGGTGAAACCCACAGAAAGAGTTGACCTGAACAAGGGGTGGTCATGGACCCCAGACTGATGACTGAGAGGCCAACAGGGGACTGATCCAGACCGCCTGAACAGGGGGGTCAATGAGGAGGCCTTGGCAATCATTGGGGCCTTGGGTACTAAGTCAGTATTTATCTCTGGCTTATTAATGTACTTTGGGAGCCCATTCCATATAGAAGAATTCTCTCTCAGCTTGGACAAATGGGGGAGGGACTTGGCCCTGCCCCAGATGATATGACAGACTATGAAGATCCCCCATGAAGGGCCTCACCCTTCCTGGAGAATGGAGTGGGGATTGGGTGGGGAGGTTGGGGGTTGGTGGGGGCAGATTTGGAGGAGAGAGAGAGGGAGCTGAGTTTGGCATGTGAAGCAAGCTTGTTTCTAATTTAAATAAATAGTTGTCAAATCAGAAACTTAACAAAGAAAAAAAGAACTAATAGAAGATATGAACCAACTGGGTTTAACAGACATCTATAGAACATTCCCCCCAAACACAAAGGGATATACTTTCTTCTCAGCACCACATGGAACCTTCTCTAAAATTGACCACATTATAGGAAACCTCCACAGACACAAAAAATGGAATACCCCCTGTATCTTATCAGACCAACAAACATTAAAATTAGAATTCAACAATAACACAAATTGCAGAAACCCTACAAACTCATGGAAATTGAACAATGCACATTTGCACCATCCCTGGGTAAAGGAAGAAATAAAAAAGAAGCTAAAAACTTCCTTGAATTCAATGAGAATGAAGAAACAACTTACACAAACTTATGGGGCACTTTGAAAGCAGTGCTGAGAGGAAAGTTTATAGTACTAAGGGCCCACATGAAGAAACTGGAGAACAGTCTCACTAGAGAATTAATAGCACAGCTGAATGCTCTAGAACAAAAAGAAGCAAACTCACCTAGGAGGAGTAGATGCCAGGAAATAATCAAATTGAGGGCTGAAATCAATCAAGTAGAAACCAGGAAAACATTGCAAAGAAACAATGAAACAAAGAGTTGGTTCCTTGAGAAAATGAAAAAAATAGACAAACTTTTGTCAAAACTAACCAAAAGACAGAGAGAGAGAGAGCACGCTAATTAACAAAATCCCAAATAAAAAGGGAGACACAACAATGGACACTAAGGAAATCCAGATAATCATCAGGGCATACTTTCAAAATCTTTACTCCACAAAATTCAAAAATTTAAAGGAAATGGATGATTTCCTGGATATATATGTCAGAAATAAATAAAGAACATATAAACATTATAAATAGACCTATAATCCTTAATGAAATAGAAGCAGTCATCAAATGTCTCCCAACAAAAATAGCCCAGGCCCAGATGGCTTCATTGCAAAATTCTACCAGAAATTCAAAGAGGAGTTAATTCCAATACTCCTCAAAGTATTCCATAAATTAGAAGTAGGAGGCTCACTACCAAACTCTTTTTATGAGGCTACAATTACCTTGGTACCCAAACCACACAAAGACATAACTAAGAAAGAGGACTATAGACAAAATTCTGTCATGTACATCGATGCACATATACTCAATAAAATACTAACTTATGTAGAAGACTGCAAATAGAACCGTATCTATCACCATTCCCTAAACTCAGCTAAAACTGAATAAAGACCACAACATAAATCTAATCTCACTGAAACTCATAGAAGAGAAAGTGGGAAGAAGCCTTGAGTGCATGGGCACAAAAGACAACTTCCTAAAAATAACACCAGTATCTCAGACACTGAGAGACATTGCTAATAAACGGGACCTCCTGAACCTGAGGGCTTCTGTAAAGCAAAAGCTATGTCCAACAAGGCAAAAAGGCAACATATAGAATAGGAAAAGGTCTTCACCAAATCCACATCTGACAGAGGGCTGATCTCCAAAATATACAAATAACTCAAGAAACTGGAAACAAAACTACAAAATAATCCAATTTAAAAATTGTGTAAGATCTAAACAGAGAACTCTCAACAGGATAAACACAAATGGCTGAAAGACATTTAAGGAATTGCTCAAAATCTTTAGACATCATGAAAATGTATATCATAACTCTGAGATATCACACACCTGTAAGAATGGCTAAGAGAAAAACACTGATAACATCCTATACTGGATAGGATGTGGAGTAAGGGGAACACTCTTCCATTGATGATGGGAGTGTAAAATTATACAGGAGTTTTGGAAATCAGTGTGGTGGTTTATCAGAAAATTGGGAATCAATCTACCTCAAGACCCAGCAGTATGACTTTTGTGCAAATACCCAAAAGATTTACAATCATACCACAAGAATATTTGCTTGACAATATTCACAGCACCATTACTCATAATATCCAGAACCTGTAAACAGTCTAGATGTCCCTCAACCAAAGAATAGATAAAGAAAATGTGGTATATTTACACAACAGAGAACAACTCAGTGGGAAAAAATGGCATCTTCAATTTGCAGGCAAATGGATGGACCTAGGAAAAAAACATCCTGAGTGAGGTAACTCAGACCCAAAAAGACAAATATGGTATGTACTCACTCATAAGTATGTATTACACATAAAGCAAATGATAACCAGACACACCAGCTAGGTAACAAAGAAGACCCTAAGTGAAACATGAATGAATCCACCTAGGAAGGAGAAATAGACAAGATCTCCTGAGTATATTGGGATCAAGGGATGGAGGGGGAGGATGGAAGGGAAGTAGTGAGGAGAAAACAATGAAACTGGAAGGTAAAGTTGGGGGAAGGCCAGAGAAAAAGAGCAAGGAAAGAAACATCTTCATTGAGCAAACCATTGGGGGATTACGGAGAAACCTGGCACGAGGGAAATTCCCAAGAATATCCAAGGACAACCCCAATAAAACTCTAAGCCCTATCAGAGAGGGAACTGAAATGTACTTGCCTAGAAATCACATTGAGGACTGTCATAATTGTCAAACCTTCATCGAGTTACTGATGGAGGCAAATGCAGAGATCCACAACTAACCAATGGGTCAAGCTCCCAGAGTCTAATCAAAGAGAGGTAAGAATGATAATATGAGCAAAGGCACCAAGACCATAATGGGGAAACAAACAGAAACAGCTGGCCTGACCTAGTAAGACTTCAATGACCTGGAGTGGCAGCTGTGGGATCTTCATGGGACCAAAATCAATGTTCTGAATGCAGGTGACACTTGACAGTTAAGGCAGTTTACCAGGCCACTGGCAGTGGTTCAAGGATCAATCACTAGTCCATGAACTGAATTTTAGGGTGTCATTCCTATGGAGAGATACCTTGCTCAGTTTAGACACAATGGGGAGGGCCTTGGTCAGGAAATCAGAATCCAAATTTTGTAAAATGATTGAATCTCAGGGCTAGCAGGAGTTTATTCAGGAACAGAGATCTGAATCCAGGGCATCTTGGTTCTCACATCTTTGTGAGCATCCCAAATTTTGCTCCAGCAGGCCCAACATTAATTCCCTCTGAGTCTTTCTCAAGGACACATTCCTGGTAAGGACAGCAAGAGTCTAGACAGAAGCAGGTATACGAGGCTGAGTTACACACCATGTGTCCACCTGTGTCATTCTGATCTATTGCCATTATTCTACACTATGTGTATCCTGCACTGAATACTCAAGCCCCAAAATGGGGAGGCAGTGCACAGGGAAGAAGACAAAGGGCACTCTACGTGTGTCTAATGGAATGAACCCACGCCCCAGAACATCACAAAGAATCACTTACGGTACACATGAAGGTTCATGATTGTTGTTGATACAATCTTTAGCCTTCTATCTATGGTTCGTAGGGTGTAGATTCCTGAGTCCTGCTCAGTGACATGTTCCAGGAGCAGGGATCCGTTGCGATATATTGTCTCTCTTCCACTGTGTGCAAACCCTGTCACACTTAAATTCATGTGCAGTGCATACAGTGCAATTCCATGTTTCATTTTTGCCTTGCCTTTGTACCAGAGGAAGGCCAGAATATCCTGTGGCATATTGTGGACAAGGAAAAGGACGTTTTCTCCACTGGCCACTTGGGGTGGAACTGATCGAATGGTGATATGATCAGTGGTGGAGAGATGCCAGCAGGTTAAAAGGGAGGCTAGAATGGAACAGAAAAAGACATCAATGCTGAGAAGATGTGATCATCACTCAACTTAGATGTGGCAGTAGGCGTGTGTCTACCCTCCTTTGCAGACATGAGGAAAATGACTCAGAGTGTCTGAGTGTGTCATTAACTCTCTGAGAAAATCTCTGCTCCAGTGTCTCCCTGGTTCCCATTTCAGTGTCTCATGTCCATTCTCACAGAGCATTTCATGTAAGGATAAATGCCTCTCTGAACTCCTACTCTGTAAAGCCTCACTTTCTGTCTTGTTTCTCTGTCCCCTTTGTGATTCAAGTCAATCCTTGACTTCATCTTGCACATACAATGACATCAATTCCACAAGAGGCAGGCATTGTGAGGACAGGGATTATTCTGACATTTTTGGAAAGTTCAGTTTCTGCAAAAAATTAGACATAAGTAGATAAAGGAGAAAGACAAGTAGGAAGAAGGGAGGAATGGATGGAGGAAGTAAGAAGGTAGGGAGGAATGGAGAGAGCAAGATTAGGAAGGAAGGGAGGGAGGGAGGAAAGAAGGGAGAGATGGAGAGTGAGGAAGGAAGAAAAGAAAGATAGAAGTTCCTCATTAGGACTATATACATAGTTCCCAGATTTGGAGTTAATGACAATAATTGTATTATTTTAGATTTACTCCTGTACTGTAGTATGTATTTCTGGAGGTGAGTATCTCCATGTGTGCATGTGAAGGTTATGTCACAAAGCTGAGCGAAGAAAAGTGCCCCAGTGTGTGAAAGTGTGGTTGCATTCCACAACACCTTGGGAAAGTCAGAGATTAGCCTGCAAGGTCTAGTGCCTCCATCTAAACTGTGGGAGCACAGGATTAAGCTCAGATGGTCATGTCTCCACACACTGAGGTCCACCCTGTTTAATTTATATTAGGAAACTTACACTGTCATGGTTGGGGACATCACACTTCAGAACATTGCAGCCAATGGGACTGACTGTGAGTGTTTGAGACTTTTCTCTTTCTCACATCACCTCCTTTCCTCTGATAGCTTCAGACTGCTAAGCCTCTGTCCCTCACTGCACCTTCTTCTCCATAACTGCAAACAGTAAGCTCGAGTCTCATCTGGAGCTCCGATCCAGTTTAGGAGACCTCAACCTGCTTCTGTGTTCCCTACCCCACACAGTCAGAAAGTAGGTACACTTACTTGTGAGTAGGAGCCACTGCCAGGGTGTACATTCTTTGTAGAGAAGCACTGAAGACACCCCCATCTCTCTTTCTACTATGGAGTCCCCCTCTGAGGAGAAGAACTTCAGCTCTCGCAAGGTGCTCAGTCTCTGCTACCCGACTGCCCACTGAGCTGAGTGCCCTCCCAGGCAGGAGCACTTCTTAGGATCCAAAGAGCTGTGGGATATGCAGTCTGCATCCAATGCTGTGCTTTGTCCCTGCTGCTCTCAATGCTGTCCCTCTTCCCTCTCAACTTCCATTTATGTTTCTCCTCCAAGCAGCACATTGAGCAACAAGGCTGATAAGCATCCCAATGGCCTCAGAGAACAATGTCTCATCCCAGGGCTGACACCTGCTGTGTCTTGGAGTTGGGTCTGTCAGCAGCAGAGGAAACCTCCATCTTGCCTACGCGGCTTGGTGACAAGGGATCAGGCTGTGCTCCCAGTCTTCCTGGTGTTCAAAATGCTCTGGGAAGGTAAGACTTATTTCATCCTAGAAGGAAGGAACACATATGTTTCTGAAAGTTGGAAAGAGACCAGCATAATGATCAATAGGAATGAAGGCCAATCCTGTATCATTAATGTCACCAATCAACGTCCTGATCAATAAGAGAATCCCATAAGCAGTTGCGTGGGGAGTTGTATGTTTTTAGTGGTGGAGTTGAGGTGACATGTGTGTTCCTTGAAGGCACTGTAGACTCCATCATTCTTTGGAGTGTTTCAAGGTAACACTCCAGGATCATGTGTTGGTTGACCTGTGTGTTGGGTGAGCCCATGTGTTCTCTGATCTTCCAGGGTTAACTTTGTCCTTTGTCTAGCTGATCCCCATTTAATCCTGTCTTTCCCCATGAGAGATACCAGGAGAGAGTTGACTCTCTTGTTCCCCATGTAGAGAGGTGCTCTCAGACACAAGTAATAGAGCTAATGTCCTCTCTTCATTCAGAGAAAAAAATTATGATTGTTGAGTATGTGTCCTGATATTTCCCCTTGGGTATCAATGGGAGAACTGCAATCTCATGTCTTAGGCTACAGAAAACATGGTCAAGAAGTGTAATGTGAACATCCCTGGTGAGTTCAGCACAGGTGGGATGCAGAGCCTCTCAGCCTGACCACTGTGTCTTCAGGACTCCTAGTTCTCTCTGATGTATGATGGGCCTAGCGATGGTTCAAGATTTGTCCTGGGAAGCACTGGACTAAAGATGGAAGTAGAGTGAATTCAGAGGAAGAGTATTCTCAATCAGGAGGAGCCTTATGCTCAGGAAATTTAAGAGGAAATTCCTAGGATATTTTTCATTATACTCATAGGACAGAACACTAATGTAGAGTCTGCACCTACACTTGCTGCCCAATCTCTTGTGTCTAAGTCATTCATTTTCCTACCTATTGGGTGCTGAGGGGCTCTGATCTGGAGTACAGAGAACACTGAATCAAATAGAGGTGTCATCTGCTGTATCCTACATGATGTCCTAAATTTCTTACTCTAGCTGTGATCTAAAAAATAACTGAGAAAAAGCAGTTCAGGAGACCAAAGTTTGCATGTACCTTCAAAGTTTGTTTCACAGTGAAGAAATGAAGTCAAGGAAAGAATGTGCTGCTGGAAGTGTAACTCCCTGGCTCACTCTCTCACTCTCCGTCTTACTCTTAGATAACTTTCTTACACAAGCAAGAAACATCTGTCTAGGGATGCTGTTGCCCACAATATCCTGGACGCATCTGCATCAATTAAGACAATCTGTCACAGTTATAATCACAGCCTGAAATAAGAAAGTCAAGTTATTCAGTTGAGACTCTCTCCCACCAGATGACTTTGGACTGTGTCAAGGCAACATTATTGGTAACTAGGGCAATATTTCAAATTTTCTACCTCCTCCTCCTCCTCCAAGGGGAGATCTAAAAGGAAATTTGCCATTCCCCAAATGAGTGTCCCTCAGCATTTGCTTTGGTCCTACAAGTGCTGGGATCCACTGTGGTACAGGACACAGCTCAAGGATGTCTGCCTTGGGTTTCACTTTTCCCACTTGCCAGGCAATAAGCATGTTGACACTCTGATGCCCAATCCAGACACTGTGAAGTGTTAATGAAATAGCATTGTCAAATTATAAGTTTGTCATCTTGATTCGGTTCAGGCCTCCTGGGCATATTCCTCACCTAATCCTTCTGGAATCACAGCGGAAGCTAATAACCAGGTGAGACAACATAAAAACTAGAAGCATTTGGGGTAAAGGAACATGAGCATGGTTTAAAGCTCTAGGTGTTCTTTCTTGCTCATGGAGATCGTGAAAGCAAATGGAGTGGACAGGAATGCAGGAATTTGTGAAAGAAACATCTACTTCACCTAATGTACAACCCCTTCCCTTGGGAAGTTCCCTAACCTAGGAGAAAGCCCTGCTTACATTCTAAGACCCATGCAGGTCACCCAACAGAAATCAAAGATGCAAGGACAAGAGGAAGAGATGGAGCTGAAATCTCATGAGAGGATTGGGATTTCTTTGTCCCTATGGACACAGGCTTGGAACTAAACTCTATATCTATGTATAAAAGCAAGGATTAACCTCAGAGCTTGGTGTCAACATTTCAAAAATCAATGTCCCAAAACCTGTAACTTTAATCACTGTGATACTATCAAGGCCAATAGCAGAGATCTGAACATATGTGATATAAGATGCACTATTATTAGTTGTGATATTGGGGATGAAGAGCTTTGGGGAGGATGACTGTGGCTTCCCACTGATGAGCCAAGAGTACTGTCCAGGTGAGTGGGAGGATGCATGGAAGGAGAAGTAGAGGTTTGACCCTGAATGGTAATAACTGAGAAAGAGATGATGGGGAACATCGAGACCATCTGAGGCAAACAGAATAAAACCACATGTGATGTCAGCACAGAAAAGGGGGAATATTGATGAATAGAAAGCCATGGTATCGCTTTAGCTGTGCTATAACCTGAGATGAGAAGGTCCCAACATGATCTGGCCTGCAGATAAGTAGAAAAGTATTCATGCAGCATGCACAAGCTCTGATCCATCTTGAGCACAACACACAATCAGCCCCGCTGCACACTTATGAATGGACTAAGCCTAAGACTCATATGTACTCTGTCTCCATCATCCAGAGTCTCTCTAGGAAGCAGAAGTCCCTACAGCCCATTCTAGCTCAATGTTGGGCTGCATGTGCTTGGATTAGGACAGGATGCTCTGGCCAGCCTAGGTATCTGTGTGGTGGTCCTGTATCACCAATTCAAGTGTGATCAACTGTCCTGACTCTAGCCCTCTGTATTTAGGCAGCTGTGGCCATGATTAAACAGAAATACTCAAGTTGAATAGTTTACTTCAGATCACACTCATAGGGTCCTGTGTCACTTTTAACACTGAGTGTCCTGCTGCCCTGGGACATCTTCAGCCTGTGATCTTCTGAGAGGCTTTGTTGTTGCTTCATAGCTGCAATTTTGTTGCTGTTATGAATCATAATTTAAATATGTAGTATGCAGGAAGTCCCATATGCAATACCTGTGAAAGGATGATTTAAAGCCCCAATGGTGTCATAACCCTCAATTTGAGAAACAATTCTCTAGCATGATATGGATCATTGGAGAACCTTCATAATGACTAGGGAGCCCACTTAGCTGTTACCTAGATCCGTTTCCTGTGCACATCTCTACCCCACACTGCCCCTTCATTTGGTCACTTTGCTTGCCCTAATTCACCCTCACCTGTACAGTGAAAGACACAGCCAGTATAATACTTTGATGAGCTACATGGACCCAAGACTTCCTCAGAGGTACTGATGAAAGCACAAAGGAAACTTGGGTTATGA